CGGTTTAGCCAATCACAACACACTGGGCTAGCTAACCAATCAGGAAATGATCAGCGTGTTTCTCAGAGAAGGGACAGAGCTATGTGGAATAAAGGTAAATTATCTGAAAAATAATGCGTTTTTTAAAAAACGAAGCATTAATACATGTTAGACTGCACCCCATAAACACAATCAAGCCTATAAAAAAAACAGTCAACCACCCCTTTAATATTTTAAATTATTCAATTAGTTGAATTAAATATTTCTTGCTTTATTCTGAGTAGCACAAAAGAAGATATTCTAAAAAATTTATTTTTTGTATTACAATGAATGTGTTGGGTCTAATGCTGTTTTTGAACCCCATTGACTTCTATTATGAACAAAATCATTTTTGAACAGAAACCTTTTTTCAGAATATCTTCTTTGGTGTTACACAATATATTTATTTTATATAATAAACTGATAATAAATATAAATATATATTTATATTTAATAAAAATGTTATTATTTCCATTACTTTTCCAAACCTCGAAATGACCATTTTAAAATTCCCTGATGTTTGTAGGTTTTCCATGACCAGGGGAAACCTCAATCGCAATTGTTGTTGAAACAACAACAATTACTAACATACACTGAAAAAAAAGCCCATAGAAAATTCCTTTGTTCCACTGAACTTCAATAATCTCAAAGCCCACCACAGCAATAAGACACATACCACAGAGGAGCTGCTCACTAACAAAACATGTGACCCCATCTGACATATTCGCCACCGTCAATGATATTTTTGTCGATCCTCGCCTTGTCCTAAGGGACTCCGATTAATGTGCACCTTATGGAGGAGCATCTTCATATGATGCACAGGAGTTGATGTTTAATTTTGTGAAATGGAGAGCGTGACTGTGCATGTAGATGGAGGAGAGACTCACGTGTCCACGTCTGCCAGGAGCTCCAGTTTGCCGGGGAAAATCTCAGACAGGAGCACACGTGTGAATGAACGGCCCAAAGACTCCAATCGAGACTCTAAGTGCTAAAGAAAGAGAGAGAGGGGGGAAAAAAGAGGAGTTGAATACTGAATGTTACACTTATTTACATATAAACAACAAAATTTCATGCACAAGGCTCAAGGTCACCAAGCACAGCCCACATCAAGAAGATTTGACAGTGTAGGAGGAAAGAGAACAGAAAATCATTACAACCAATAATTTTCTGAAGAACAAGAAAACCGCTTCCTATCGCCTAATGAGAAATCTTCACAGGACCGCTGATGCTGAACGCGTGTAAACAGCTTGTGTAAACCCTTTATGTTCTTCAAAGCTTTAGTAACCACCATCAGCTCGGTGTTTCTAACATAAATGCCCAGTTTAGCTCGATTTTTATGCATTAATGACATTGGGCTTTGTTGTTGCCTTGATTTATTAGTTTCCCCAAAGAAACAATCTACTGTGTCTGATGTGGAGGAACTTGACTGGTCTGCACAAAGACCTGAACCCCACTGAACACATTTGAGATGAATCAGGACTAGGTATGCACAATATTTATTAGTATCTTTTTAATTTATCTGTATCACATAACATTGGATTGCATATTATCACTCATTCTCATTTCCTCTATGTATACATTTAGATTATTTTTGCCATCATTTAACGCTCACGTAAAGTTAATCTTTTATGCACTAATAATTAACACTGTTAAATGTAAGCTTTAGCAGATCTCAAAATGAATATCTGTTTCTCATACAGTACATTATAATGTTGTGATGAATAAATTCACATGTACCATGAATGATTTTTTTTAAATGGACAATTTTAGATTTATTTGAAATGTTTGCAATTTATTTAATCAAAACAGTACAGAATTTTATCAGCCATTAACTGGTTATCACCCATAACAAAAAATAATTGGCTTATCAGCATCGGCCAAAATTCTAATATTGATGCATCCCAAACTGAAACAGTAGCTATGTTTCCATCAACCTATTTTTATGCGCATTTTGGGATATCGCAAAAAAACAAACAAAAAAAAAAACGCCAAGACGTGCATAAATTCTAAAAATGCTCATAAAAAACTTATGCGCTCAACTGAGTAGGATAAATTTCTTATTCGGTAAAAAAACATGCGCATAAACTACAATAGAAACACTTTACCAAATAAATTCCTTAATGCGCATAAAAAATTACGTGACTTTGCGATGGGACAGCATAAAACTGGGCCAACCAACAGACCAATCTCATTTCACAGCATCTGAAATGCTAGTTAGTTTGTCATTCTAAAATGCTTGAGCAAAGTCTCGTCAAAGTGCTTCATTATAATTAACTCCCAGAACGGTGTTCCTAAACAGCAGGCTCCGAAAATAAGATAACATGACCGCGTTTCATCTGTGTGCTCTGAAGCTCGTAATTTATTGTATACAAAGAATATTATATACAGTGCCTTATCCTATACTGCAAAAAATTGAATTTTGCTTCATGATATTTAGCGCAAGTTAATCAGGAAGTGACGATTTTGTTCTCTTCAGCCCACTGGATGGAAACAGTGCTTTATTCGCAAATGTTTTATGCGATATTCCAAGTTTAATATGTAACTTTGGATGGAAACATAGCTAGTGTATTGTGAGAATTTTCTGACTCTTAATGAAAAATGGCTTCCTAGTCAATACAGAATAGATGTTTTTGATATATCATGTACAACAGGACACTTTATAGTGATTTATCACTGAACATTTCCCAAAGCCCATATCATCTGATCAGGATCCAGCTCCATTTTAGCCCAAGCCAGGAAAGCACATGTCCTATTTAGAAGATCTGTCTTATCTGACAATCTACTAAAAATGATATTGAGATGATTCACTTGTCTTGCAGTTTGTCACACAAAGACATTTCTGATGTCAGTTCAATTCCTACTTTGGTGTCACTATGATAATGTCACAGCTGAACTATAGAGATGAGGACAAGATGGACCACTGGATGGAAAATGAAATTTGTAACTATGAATAAGAAATTTGTATATATACACACACAATATCAACAGAATAAAAAAATAATATGTTTCAAATTTAAGGTAAAATAATCCTAAAAAGATCTGCATGAACAGAGAACGTTTTGTAAAAGTGTAAATCAAGCTGTGTGCATAAGAAAAAAAGAGGCAGCATTTTAGTGTTTAGTCATATAAGTTCTTGACACCCTTTCTTTGCAAGTTTGCAATATTTTTGGCCATATTTAAGAGAAAAAAAGTGTAAAGTGTAAGCGTGAAAAAAGGAAGTCTGAGAAATAGCTATCACATAATTTTCTGGTAATAATTCACACTTTCACAGATCTCTGGTATTATTTTACCTTCATAGGAAATCTACCACTTACTGCTAAATTGTGAAAATTACTGTCAAGTACAAAGAGTGCTGTTGTTAAAACTTACCCTACTACCAGTGATGCTAGTGGTACAGAAATGACACACTTCACCATTCATTTAATAACAACAGAAGTAGAGAGAGATGCACCGATTGCAATTTTCTAGGCCGATTCCGATTTCCGATTTTTTGTTAGTGTGATCTGCCGATATCGATTTTTGCCGATTCCAATTTTCTTTCTAAGAACTATAATTGACAGCATATACAAACAAAAATCTACTTTTCTTCAACGCAAAGTAAAAAGTCAGTAATAAAATAAGAACAAATTAAAAAAAATAGCAAACAACAGCGCAAATAAATGCAATAGAATAAAGAGAGCTATGAAACTTAAGTTTTTCAGGTTAAGTAAGTTTTTATTCAGTTAAAATTAAATACAGATTAATGTTTACCATTAAAGTTGTAAAACGTATTCAGTCAAGAGCAGAAAATTATTTTCTTTGTCTTTTGTTCTTTGATTAACATGACAGACAGCAGCATAAATATTGGACTGCGGTCACTTTAAGAGATTATCCATGGACCCAATATACTGTTACACAACATGCGTTCTCTTTCTCAACTATTTAACGTTCCAAAACTGACTGTGTTTAACTGGATACTTGCCAAAACGGGCATTTTGACAATTTTTTATGTATTTGAACGTTTTAGCGCAGTTAGCCACTCATTTTGGTATTTGTGGCTCACAAGCTGTTTGAGACTGAGCGCGGATTGTGCGCTCCACTAATATAGATCAGTGGTGGTGCGCGCGTGTTTGGTATAACCTGCGGGAATGACTAAAATAATGCGCAATACAAGCACTATTTAACCGGAGCGAATGAGACGTGTGTGAGAGAGAAGGGGTCGTCGGAGAGAAGAGAGCGAGAATGCGCGGCTGACGTTATTGCCTGTGCCGCTGGTAACAAAACGGATCGGCTCGGAATCGGAAAGAAGTGAGACTGACCGGCCGGTCACCGACCCAGATCATGAGGAAAATCGGCCGATTCCGATCCCTGGCCGATCGATCGGTGCATCTCTAAACAGAAGTCATAGGAGGTCCCAACTACATCATGAAACAAGTGTGAGTGTGTTTAAATAAACTCATTCTAATGAGCCTTTTATTTGTTCATTAACCATCAATGGTAATTATTCATTCCCTAGTGATAGGCATGAGGAAAGTGAATAATAACAATTCTTGCTCACTTCAGGATAAAGTAATGCATTACCAGACTCTCCCCACACACTTTGAAGTGTGAAACCCAGTGGACCACAAATATTACCAGCAAAAACCTCCAGACATCAGTGAGGAGGTGTTCAGGTGAATGGGTGGCTTCAAAGCACAACCACTGAAAAAAAAGAAAAAAAGAAAAGAAATGGTGGGTGGTGGAGAAAGCAGAATCTACTCTTCTTCTTCAACCGAAGTGTATTAAATTAGCTGGCTTAGTTAACCTTGAAAAAGGTTACAATTGCTCTTCACTGTTAAGCCAGCACGTTTTGAATGACAAATACAGAACATGCAGGAATGTGTTTCATAGACCCAGAGAGATTTCTTGAATAAATGCACTTGATTTAAGACTCTATTCCACTTTTTTTCAAGTTTAAATGTGCTTTTCTGCTTTATTTTCTAAAACAGTGGTTCTTAAATGGTTTTGCAAATGACCCAGATTTTGCATAATAAGATGAACGAACATAGTAGCATTAGAGGTCGACCGATAGTGGATTTTACCGATACCGATAGCTAGGTTGGACCACACTGGCCGATACAGATTAATCAACCGATAGTTTTTAAAATGGTAAACGAAAACTAAAACAGCGCTTTACTATTTAAAAAAAAAGCAGTAGCAGTACTGATCCATACTTTGTAAATGAATAAACATACTCAATGATCTTATATTGATCATTAAAGCTATTTCATAGTTTACTAACGTTAAAAAAATAAACTTTAAAATGTAAAAATGTAGCCTATTAGTAATAGTAAATGTTGAAATGAACACACTAGGAACAATACTTCTACAGCTTTCATTAATATTACAAAAGGACTCTTACTGTTAAGTATTACCATTTAATTTCAACAGTCATGCTTAAAGATGGTTGGACCACACTGGCCGATACCGATTAATCAACCGATAGTTTTTAAAATGGTAAACGAAAACTAAAACAGCGCTTTACTATTTAAAAAAAAAGCAGTAGCAGTACTGATCCATACTTTGTAAATGAATAAACATACTCAATGATCTTATATTGATCATTAAAGCTATTTCATAGTTTACTAACGTTAAAAAAATAAACTTTAAAATGTAAAAATGTAGCCTATTAGTAATAGTAAATGTTGAAATGAACACACTAGGAACAATACTTCTACAGCTTTCATTAATATTACAAAAGGACTCTTACTGTAAAGTATTACCATTTAATTTCAACAGTCATGCTTAAAGATGGCCATCTTTAAAGACC